GGCAAATTTCCCTTTTGGGCTCAACATTTGCCCTCAGGAATACAGTGATGGCTTGAGAGAAAAAAAGAAAGAAAGAAAGAGGTAGAACCAGGAGCTCTGGGTGAGTTCACACCCTTATACCCCAAAAATCCCAGACTCTGGTAATCCTTGAAACTCTGCCATAGAAACAGAGGATTCATAGCTTTAATTCAATCCCTATGCTCTGGCATGGAAACATAAGACAGCTTTGCCAGCTGGAACTGATCTTATCTACATTTGCTTACATTACACTCCTTTCTTGGCAAAAGGGAATCAGAACAATTTTCAATCCTGGAATTTGAAGGGATATCAAAAGCCTGTGGTCATATCTTTGGGTTTAAAAGAATCAAGTCTTGGTGGAAATACCTACAGCAGCTACAGCCCAGATCCAAGGTTTTTGCTTCTTCTGGAGGAGATGTCTAGCCAGAAAAGAGGCTATCATGTCTATCCCTTTCATGACCATTGGGACATATCAGTCCCAGTTGTATTCTTTTGCCTCTCTGGTTTCTTGGGAAGTGTCCTGCTTATAGTATGTGTTGGTTTCTGGCAGGGACATTATAACTGTTTAGATCTGAAGAAAGATTCATTGGTACAAAATCACCATGTTTAAAGGTTACTGTATGAGGTAGCATATCCTGGAGGTGCGGTTGCACAAAATTTTGTGTCTTTTGGCTCTTATACAGTGAGATAAACCTTGTTAAGTATACTTTCAGTTTCCTGTGTGTTACTTGTAAGTCATGGTTTTCATGATGATTTAATTTTTAAATGAATAACTTATTTTCAGGTGCAATGAATTATAAGAACATGTTGTAGCATCCTTGATGTACTGTATGTACATTTCTTGTAATCATTGAGGACTTCTCCTCTGGTTTACAAGCTGTAATAGTTCTTTTGTGATTAAAAAAAAATTAACTGTAGTAGTAATTTTCACACAACACCAACTCCTTTTGTAGTTTCCATATACACACAATGCAGGAAATAAAAAATTTCTCTTCTTGTGTATTCTCATACTGGTGTGGAGGTATGGTATTGCATTATGCTGGTTTTGCAGAACACAGAATTTTTTTTCTGAAAAAAAGTGTTTTGTTTTAGAAATTTACTCTTTGAAGGATGAAGACATTCTTGATTATTTCTTTTCTCTATCCAAGAATGAGGATGGATCTGAGGAGGAGAGTGATGAAGATGCCTCAGACAAGCATGTGGAATTTGAAGCTCATTTTGATGGTAACAACAATGACATTGACATGGCATCAGATGATGCCAGAAGAAAAAGCAGATGATGATGCTCATCATGAAAGTGAGGAAAATGAAGGTAAATGGTGTGAAGATATCTCTTACTTTGAAAATATAATGAACTTGTTTCAGTAGTATACCAAAATTTGCCCAGACTTGATCCATGAAGACACAGAAGTAGATTACTTTTTGTCTGTATTTATGGAAAAGATTTTGGAAATACAAAGGACCAAATGAATTTTTATGTGACCTAGCAGTTCACATCACAATATAGAGGGCAGGAGATTAGAATGCCAAGTGAAAACTGGCAGCCTATCACTGCAGAGGAGATAAAGACATTCGTTGCTGTGCATGTACTGCTGTATATACACATCTTACTGGAGCTCAGACATTATTGGTCCAGCGACCCTTTCTTGGAAGTCACCTCTGTTGCAGAACTCATGACTAAAACAAGATTCAAGAGACTGACCAAGAACATACACTACAATGACAATTCAACAGCCATGTGCAGAGAAGAACCTGGCTACAACTAGCTTCACAAATTGCATCCAATTATCAATCCTCTCAGTAGCCACCTGAAAGAAGTGTATGTGTCCTCAAGTGTCATGGCAATTGATGAAAGCATGATGCCATTCAAGGGTCATTCATCAATAAAAAATAATACAAACCAATGAAGCCCATCAAGCACAAGTTTGGTGCTCAGCTAACTCACAAACTGGTTTTGTAAGTCAGTTTGATATCCATTCAGGAAAAAAGTTGTAGATAGTGACTCACATCTTATCCTCAATCAGAATGTTATACTTAAGCTACATCATTCACGCACCCATTCTCATAGGCTCATTGCCTTTGACAGTTTTTTCCCTCCTATCACTTGATGAAAAGCATGAACCAAAGGGGATTGTATGCTGTTGGCACGGTGTGAGCAAACAGAAAGGGGCTACCAGATATGATGAAGAGGAAAGACAAATTACAGTGGGGAGAATTTCTGTTTCATACTGAAGGATGTGCCTCCACAGTGAAGTGGCAGGACAATAAAGTTGTGTCAGTTTCATCAAGGTTCCACAATCCAAAGGACATCACTAGTGTCAAAAGAAAAGAACAAAGACAGTTTCTTCTCAGTAATCCTTTGCCCAAAAGCAGTTACAGAATACAACACAATTATGGGAAGAGTGGACTGTTCTCACCAGAGGTGTGAAAGGCACACAAAGGTGCTCTCTCAAATGAAGGCATTGATTGCTATATTTCTTTATTGAGCTTGGCATTGTGAACAGTTTACAATGTAGAACTGTAACAGTGGGGGCAGATGTGATCAACATTCCTTCAGGTTCACTCTCATTAAGCAGCTTACGGTGGACTGGGAAATCAAAGGAAGAGGAAGACCCTCCTTTCTTGTAAAGAACCAGCCTGGAGTAAGCAAGGTGCCAAATGGCATGGCTCCAACCAGTTGTTAAGCATTTACCTGTCAAGGGATCTAGAAAGTGATGCCAAAAATGCAACACTAAGAAGAAGGAGATAAATATTGTGCAAACACTGCAGGGTGCCTTTATGTGTTACCTCATATTTTCAAAAGTTCCACACAATAAAATAATATCAAGTTACAATGACTTTTTTTCCCCATGCCTCAACCCACTTAACCTACCATCACAGTCTAGTTGGACATATGTGTCCTATATAATATATCTCAAAATCCATCATACCTAACAAAAAAGTTAAAAACACTCATTGATTCAGCATGCATTCCATTAGCAATGGAATTAGCAATATATATATATATATATATATATATATATATATATATACAAAAAAAAAATGTTTACAAACTAAAAATGATTCAGTCATGAAAAGGCTATGCTACCATCTTGAGCAGGACAAAACAATGTGTATGGCACTCAGAGAACCAAGAGCCTCCCAACCACTGAGTGCCTCTGTTACAGCACTGCTGACAGCCAAAGACGCTCAGTCTCAAGGGAGACCCTGATTGTTGATTCTTAAGATGACCCATTTTTTGAGTTTTCATTGTGCTGATTTCATCACTTGCCCTTTAACAATTCACATGTGCACAACCTGGCCTCATTAGAAAGCTATGAGGATTAGACCAGGAGAAGAAGTTCCATGAATGACAATTCTAAACCAGTCTTTGCTGATCAGAACACAAATTTACCAATTAGTACACTTGCTAGACTAGAAGATGAAGTCAAAAGGCTTGAATAATTCCAATTCCTTATACTCATTTCAACTAAATACTAACTTGCCGTCAAGGCAGTGGACAAGGATTTATTTGTGAGGCTCTTTATTAGAGCTATAATTTTGGTCAATGGAGGTGTATTGAAAACACAGATCATTCAGAAAAAAAAAAGCCTAAACAGGGGACAGGATGAAGTAAGCAGGAGTTTAGTATGCAGTTACTGTAAGGGGATGCCAGGGAGTGCAGGTTGGGATTCAGGGACATTACAGCAGTCTCCTCCTCTTCCACTTCTCCTTAAGTGCAGTCTAAGACTGTCCTCATTTGGATAACAGAATGGATGGTGGCTAGTCCTCTTTCAGATGATTGCCTGTATGATAACTGTCACTGTGGTCATATAGCTTTGACCCCATCAAAAATTACTCCTACATAGTAGCATCACTAGGAGCTCTGGTGGTGTAGTGCCTAAGGCATTTGACTGCTAACCAGAAGGTTGGCAGTTCAAACCCACCAGCCACTCCTTGGAAGGAAGGTTGGGCAATCTACTTCTGTAGTGATACCGCCTCGGAAACCCAAGGAGGGGTCGCTATGAGTTGGGTCTGACTTGACGGCACATAACAACAACAGTGGCATCACTAGGGTTGGTGGTACTCAGTGAAGTGGGGGGAGGTACATCCTCTTGCATCAGACCATATAGAATCCTTTAGTAATGTTGATTATCAATTTTATTATAGAATAGGTGATAAATTTAGTTGTAAATTGCTTAAATGTAGTATTTCTTAGGTTACACGAATACTAACAGAAAAATTGTTCTGTAAAATCTACATTGAACTATGTCATTATTAGTTACAACATTATTAGTGACTGAGTGGAAGCCTTTTTTATTTTTCTCCTTCTTTTCCTTTAATTATTACTTCATTCCCCAGATAGGTTCACAAATACTACTTACCACAATATTGTAGCTAAAACACCAGAAAATTTGACAAAATCAGTGACTATAAAAACCCTGGAAGCAATGAAAACAACAGTGTGCTTGTACCACATGCAGACAAAGCCGCATGATTCAAAGTGTCATTGTAATTGGGTAATAATGACAGCTCAGATTAGAGCACCTCAGAAGGTTCAAAAAGTAAGTTAGCATAAGGTTTTAGCCTTGTAAGCATACTGATATGTGTAAGCTGTACTTATGAAAAATGTTTATGTTGTTATAACTAACAACAAAGTATTATAACTAACAACAAAGTTACGGGATATTTTTATAAAAAGGAATAGATTTCTGCTGAAACACTGCACAAATATTTTATAGACAGTCATTTCAGTGTCACCCCTTCTGACAGTGTCAGCTGGTGCTGTCTGCAACCCCCACACCCCACTAGAGATGTTACTGCCCCAACATACCTGTTTTGAGATTTGGCTATAGTATCCAAACCTTAGAAATGTCAAGGATGAGCACAAAGCTTCGAAGTAGCATGTAAAGTAGTCCTTCTATAAATGTGGTCCTATGACTAGTACATGGGGGTTAGTGCTTCCATGAGGAGCAGAACTTGCCAAAGAGCCTGCCACTCACCTTTGCTGATGTCTTCATATTCCAGCCAGAGTCGCCGCTGGACCTGCTTGTTTGGGTACCAGATAGAGCAGGACTCCTCAAAGCCATAGATAGCTTCCTGGATGTAATGGTTCCCAAACTGGTCCAACAAGGCCACAAAATCCCCACGAGAGGTAGCCCCATCCAGGGAGTGCAGAGCATTGCTGAGGGCTGTGGAGAAACATCACCCAAGAAGAAGAGTGGGTATCTGGATTTCTAGTCAATTCAGGCCCAATGTGGAAGACCCTACGTGTTCCGAAACAATTTTAGAGAGATGGAACTATTCAGTGAATGTTTCCATTTAGCTCAATTAGATGTTTTAATTCCTAAATGAATATCTTATCAAGACAATTGGTTGTTCTGTTAACTTTGTACAAGTCAAACAGAATATTGCCAATCTCCCCCCATTAAGTCAATGTCTTTTTTTCAAATCTCAGGTCATGACATTAAATCAATTCAGTGAGCTCAAATAATAGCATTTGAAAAACACAATGGAAAAGAATAGCATAGTCTAAAATAGAAACACAGATATAAGCAGAGAATATCTCACATGGTAAAATGAAGTATCACTTTATAAAGCTTCTGTTGTGTATATGTGGGTGGGTGTGTATGTACAAGGTCATGGTGTTAAATAAATTCTAACTGGGCTGTGCCCAAAAAAGTTTGCAAAATATTGCCTTCAAACATCAGAAATGGGTAAGGGAAAGATAAAGAAAGAAGAAAGGTAAGAAAATTCACTAAGAAACTGCTTATATTTTATCTCAGAAAATCAACAGTAAAGACTAGGAAATGGCAAATGGAGGAAACAGTCTGCCTCCTTACCCTTCACATCCATGAAGTCTCCTGGGGTTTGCTTTCTGTTTTAAGAGAAATATACTCATTCAAAAGATAGCGTATGATAAACTTCCCAAAGCAATTACTTCTGTAGCTTTCCTCAGTTATATAAAGCTCTCATTGTACACACCTGTGTCCTATTACTGCAAAGCAGAGCCTGGTATAGGTGCAAGAGTCCAAGCTTCATAGAATGCAGAGGCTGCATCACCTGTGACACCATTCTGTGACTTTGAAAGACGTCAGGTTGCTAACCCTTGATGTGCCAGCCTCTGAGTATGTGGATGGGGTAGAGTCTCTATTGCCATGTGTTCCCACAATGAAGAGCTAGTTCTTTCTAGGTGTTTTGTGAACGACTGGAGTTTACTACCATAAGGTCCTATGCCCATTCCTTCTTGCCAAGAGTCTTTAGCATTTTTTTTTTTTATTATTAGGATTTGGGTGAAGATTTACAGAGTAAATTCACTTTTCATGCAGCAGTTCACATATACTTTGTCTCATGTCATTGACCAAAATTTACAAT